AAAAGTAACAATAAATTCACAAAACAATAATTTATTATTAATTTAATGCAAAATAGCGTGAATGTGGTAAAAACAAATTTTTTTTATAAAATCAGTGATACTTTACTGTCAATTTAATTTGACAATTTAATTTTTAAACGAATATCAAATAATTATTATCGGGAAACAATTGAATTGTATTTTATGATTGACAATGACAATTAAAAATTAACAGCGTAAATTCGGTTTAAATGTTACACGAATATTCTCAGTATTGATATTATTATTATTATTATTATTATTTATCTACCTCGGAATTTGTTACAAAAACAATTATTTAAAAAAAAAATATTTCTTTTGCTTACTTTTAAAAAATAATAATTTAACATTCTGTTTATTTAATGAATGAAAAATAATAATTAAATCATTTTTCAAATTGAATATGCCAAAGAAAAAATCTAGTCTCATTTTTGTTGCAACTCAAAATGATTCAATGCTTAACGAAATAGAAAGTGGCGCCACAAATCTGGTTCATTTTTGTTGCACATCAAAATGAGCCGCCTAGGCCGCTCATTCTGAGTTCAGTTTTTTTTCTGTTTGTGAGGTATCAAAAAAAGAGTAACAAATGTTTTTAAGAATTTATTTTTTCTAGATATACATATATATATATATATATATATATATATATATATATATATATATATATATATTAAAAATGCAAATTGCTTGGTAAAATGTCACGATTCGTCGTGTCATAATTTACGGCTATAAATATTGCAAAACGTGAATAGATAAAATATTGTCCACCAGGTAAAGTATTTTATATATATATACGAGTTGCTGTGAATTTCAGATTTAAAATTCTACATATGTCTCTTTCTCTCTTGCTATATATACATATATATGTTTTAATCAAATTAAAAAAAAAATGCCTGGAATTTTTTTTTCATATATATTCTATATAACTGTCAATCGTCCTTCAATCACTGAAATTTACAGCTACTCTTTTCAATTTTCGTGTTCGAACGTTGAATTACGACGAGTGCAATTTCCGCTTCCGGCAAAACGAGGCGCGATTTACTTTTATATATATATATATATAGAAAACATGTATATATAGTATTGACTACTACTTGAACGTACTACTAATATGATAACTTCATTTTGAAGTAAAAGCCTTGCGGGATGCAAAAAGACGCGGAAATCAATCTGAACCACTCGTTCACGCCGGAAGTGGAAAATTTCGTTAAACGATGTCGCAAGAAATAAAATTCACGCGGAAAAAGTGAATAGTGTTCTCTTTTTTTTTTTTTTTTTTTTTTTTTTTTTTTTTTGTAAATTTTTGCACTGAATTCTTTTCACAGATACACAGAAAAAAACTTGGTGTTAAAAAGTAAAAAGCGATCTATATTACAGAATTTTTATATAATCGAAAATTCACTTCACTAGAATGTTTATTTGTCAGAATTTTTATTTTCTCGAATAACATAATAGGCATTTTAAAGAATTTTTATTGGTTAGAATTTTCATTTTATTCTTTCAGATGAATTTTCATTTGTTCGAATTATTATTTAATTGAATTTCCATAAAACCGATTTTTCTGCAAAATTTTTACTTAACCGAAAAATCATTTAACAGAATTTCTAATTGATAGAATTTTCCTTTGTCCGAAATTGCAAATGGCTGAACAAATAATCGATTTCGGCGTGATTTTTAAAATCAACTAATCACAATTTTATGAATAATTTTTCATTGGTTGATTTTAAAAATCGCACCAAAATCTATTGTTTGTTTTGCAATTTGCAATTTTGGACAAATGAAAATTCTATCAATTAGAAATTCTGTTAAATGATTTTTCGGTTATGTAAAAATTCTGTAGTTTGAAAAATCGGTTATATGGAAATTATATATATTTATTATGGAATGACCCAAAAAAGATCCAAAAAAAACAGTTATTACTTCAAAAAAAAAAAAAAAAAACAAAAAAAAATTACGGAATTGTTATGAAACTTGGTAATTATTTGATGAGAGTTCAGCAAAATAATTACCAAGTTTCATAACGATTCGGTAATTTTTTTTTTTGAAAGTTATAACTGATTTTTGGATTTTTTTGGGGTCATTCCGTAATAAATATACGTTTTTATTCCTAACTTTGTATCTTTTTGCAATAAAAGAATATTATTTATCGCAAAGAACATAATTACCAAGTTTCATAAGGATCCGTTAATTTCTTTAGAAGTTATAACCGATTTTTGATTTTTTTGGGGGACATTCCATAATAATTATGCGATTCTTTTCTAAATTTTTTTTGTTTTTCCTTTAAAGGGTGTTATTTATTACAAAGAACATAATTACCAATTTTCACAACGATCCAGTAATTTTTTTGAAAGTTATAACTGTTTTTTTGGATTTTTTTGGGGTCATTCCGCAATCAATGTACATTTATTTTTCTAAATTTGTATTTTTTTGCATTTAAAGAATGTAATTTATTGTAATGTAATCTGTAAAGTGAATTTTCGGTTATATAAAAATTCTGTAATATATAAAATCATTTTAATGAAAATTCTACAAAATACTAATTCGAACAAATCAAAATTAGGCTAAAAAATAATTACGACAAATAAAATTCCATGAAAATCCCCCAAAAAAATCGGTTATAACTTCTAACGAAATTAATGGATTTTTATAAAACTTGGTAATTATGTTCTTTGCGATAAATAACATTTTTTTATTGCAGAAAGATACAAAATTAAAAATAAAATTATATTTATTATGGAATAACCCAAAAAAAGCAAAAAAAAAAAAAAAAAAAAAAAAAAAAAAAAAAAAAAAAAAAAAAAAACAGTTATAACTTACAAAAAAATTACCTGATTCTTATGAAATTTGGTAATTATATTCTTTGCGATAGATAACATTCTTTTATTGCCGAAAAATACAAATTTCGAAAAAAAGCGCATAATTATTATGGAATGTCCCAAAAAAAATTCCAAAAAACAGTATTCACTTTCAAAAAATTATCGGATCGTTATGGAAACTTGTTAATTATTTGATGAAAATTCTCCAAAATAATTATCAAGTTTCCATAACGATCTGTCAATTTTTTTGAACGTTATAACTGTTTTTTGGATTTTTTTTGGTTATTCCGTTATAAATATACGTTTTTATTCTTAAATTTAGATCTTTCTGCAATAAAAGAATGTCATTTATCGCAAAGAATATAATTACCAAGTTTTATAAAAATCCTTTAATTTCTTTAGAAGTTATAACCGTTTTTTGGATTTTTTTTGGGACATTCCATAACAATTATGTGCTTTTTTCTAAATTTGTAATTTTTTTCCTTTAAAGGATGTTATTTATTACAATGAACATAATTACTAAATTTTATAAAAATCCGTTAAGTTTTTTGAAAGTTATACCTGTTTTTTTAAAATTTTTTTGGGGTCATTCCGTAATAAATGTACATTTATTTTTCTAAATTTGTATTTTTTTTTTGCCTTTAGAGGATGTAATTCATTGTAATGTAATTGGATTATATAAAAATTGTGTATAATATAGAAAATCGTTTTGATGAAAATTCTGCAAAATACTAATTCGATCAAATAAAAATTCAATTCAAAAATAATTATGACAAATGAAATTCCAAAAAATAAAAATTCTAACTAATGATTGTTGGAATATAATCAATCCCTTCAATTCGATATCCAACTCGAAATAAGTTACAGCAGTCCAAGTTTTTTTCTGTATGTATAAAATAAAAAAAAATTTACAAATTTAATTTTAATTCTCTTCACTATTTCCGCTTAGAGGTAAGATGGGGAAATTTTTATTTTATACTTTTACTCTCCAAATACTCTTCAGGTATTAAGGTCGTCTAACATAACCTTAAACAAAAAAAAAAATTTTAATTCTGAAAAATTATGTTGTACTTTCAAACAAATTTAAAAAATTATATATTAAAATAAAAATTACAATAGTTTAGAATTTACTTTTTTTTTAAATTAATATTTAATAATTGTTGAATTAAAAAAAAAAAATAATTTTACTGCTAAACTATTTTTATATAGGAACGACAAATTGTTTCAATTAAAAAATATTTGGATATTGTTTGGAGAATAAAAAATAAAGGGATTTTTCGAATTGAATTTTCATCAAAATTAATAAAATATAAAAATTTGTTCAGTTATAAAATTATATTATATATAATTAAAAAATTTTCTTTTATTAAATTAAAATTTTTATTAATAATTATAAATAAAAATTGTACATTTTGTAAAGTAAAAATTTGAAATATTGTAAAACTGTCAAATATATTTCGCAGATATTTAAAAAATTTTAAAGGTAAAAAAATTAATTTAAATTTATTGATGAAAGTTCAGTTGATGTTGATTGGCATTTGCTCTAATTTAAATTGAATTTAAATACTGTATATATATATATATATAGAGTAAGAAAAATTTATGCACAGACACGAAATTTAAAAATAAAAAATACTTGAAATAATTTTACAAGGAAATTATTATTATTATTGTTAAATTTTTTTTTATTTAATACAAGTGACTTGCATTTGTGCGAGCCCTTTTAGCAAATAATAATAGATCAAAAAATCGTGACTTTGCATAAAATTTTATCTCTATAGAGTAGTAATGAAATAGAGTTGGAGTTTTGCACATAAATATATAAATAAAACGCGGGAATTGCAATGCACGTGATAATTATATTTGCCTCTCTCCAGTGTTATAATCATAATAGAGAAACAGATTTTCCACGTCATCATTTACATATTAAAGTAGCAATAAATAATCAAGAGTTCGTAAATGTAAATTTGCGAAATAATTAACGAATGTTAATATAATTTAAAAAAAAAAAGTTTTAATTTTTTAATTTTTAAACAAATATTTGAAAATATTAAAAATCATGAATTTTCTTTTTTTAATTTTTATGTGCAAAACTTGCTCTTATATTTTATAATTTAGAAATTGAAAAAAAAAAATTATTATAATATTGTATTTTCCAATTAACAGGTGAACAATGCAACGGCACGAGTGCAGACGAAAAAACCACCAACGGTTCCAAACGGTAGGTCAAATATAAAAATATCTTTTTTCTTTTTTAGATTTTAAAAATTGTCAATTTTTACACTCTCTTCTATTTTTTAGAAAATTGGTTCGTTTAAAATATTTTTAAAAATTTTTTTATTATTTTATAAATTTTTTAAATCAATTTTTGTTTTATTTATATTTTTTGTACTAAAAATCTTTTTTTTTATTATTCTATAATTGTTTATGTAAACTTTTCTTTTATTTATATTTTATTTATAATTTATTTATTTTTATTTATTTTCATTTATTTTCATTTATTTTTATTTTTTATACTAAAAATCTAAAAAAAAAGACGAAAATAAATATTGGAAAATATCGCGTGATATATAAAGTCTAAAATTTGCGGAACCAAGTCGTGAATTTATAATCTAAACTTAATTGTGTCGACGTTTAAATTGGGATTCACCATTTGACCGCAAACTCTGATGCTTCTTTTATTATTATTATTTTTTTTTTAATTTTTTTTTTTTTAGCATTGTCCTCAATCAAAAGCGAAAACTCACAAAAAAACCTCCAATAATCCACCGACACATTTGCATAATAAAATTAACCTATTTTATTCACTTTATCCCTGGGAAAAATATGAGATCCAATCAAAATTCAAGTCGTGAATAATAATTTCTATTTTATCGTTTTTCTATAATTGCTGAATTTTATATACTAAAACTGAATTTCTCTCTCTCTCTCTCTCTCTCTCTTTCACTCTCGTGTGGGGAAATTTCATTTTCAAATATACAGAGGGAAACCTCTCTTTAAAAATATAATAGACTTTTGCGGTGTTTATTTTTTATAGTATTTTTTTTGAAATTGAGAGACAAATTTTTAAAATCGTTTCTCATAAAAAATTGAAATTTGTTTTTAAAATATAATATTATTTAATCTCATATTTTCCTTTCGCAAAAAAAAAGAAAACTAAAAATTAATTGTAAAAAGTTTTTCTATTTTTATAAAATTTTTTTTTCAAATGTTATTAATTTTTTTAAAAATTAGATTAAATTACATATACTTAAAACCAATTTTCTTTGAATTAAATAAAAAAGTGGAAATTAATTTTCCATCTTTAAATATAAATTTGTCACGTGAATAAAAATTTTATATAACGTTCTTATAATTGAGATGTTATGCAGTGTTTATTTTTTGTTTTTCGAAAGAGTCGATTAATAATTATTTTAATACGATGATGATGATTATTATTATTATTATTATTATTATTATTATTATTATTATATTATATATTATATATTTGTACGAGTGCAAGGCTGTGGTGAGAGATTAAAAATATCGTTTTACTTGAAGAAAAACAATCGATCTCGCCAACTGTTTCTTAACAGTCGAAAGCACCTCTAATTATAACCAAATTCATACGACCGCATTCTACTCTATTGAACCGTCCCTTAGTAACAAAGAGAGACTGTAATTTGTTAACTTACACTCCATTTCACATATCCTTCAACCTGAGATAGTGTAAAATGGGTGAAATATTAAGTTTATACTGACTATTCATTTTATTTATATCTATATGCTTATTTATACATTTAAATTAAAGTAAAAAAAAAAATTTCAAATTTTTAAGACCACAATGAATTTTTAAATATTTCTTTATCTTAAATATAGTAATTTTTTGTACTCAATTTTGAATTCAACAAAAAAAAAAATAATTCTTACAGCTAAATTATTCATTTAAATCAAATAAATATTTATCACTTTTTTGTAATTTTATAGAGGCGTATGATTTTTACAATAAAATCGGTACGCATAATTATGTTCTAAAAATCATTAGTTAGAATTTTTATTTTATGAAATTTTATTTGTCATAATTATTTTTGAGTCGAATTTTTATTTGTTCGAATTAATATTTTGCAGATTTTTCATCACAACGATTTTCTATATTACAGAATTTTTATATAACCGAATTACATTACAATGAATTACATCCTCTAAAGGCAAAAAAAAAAAAATACAAATTTAGAAAAATAAATGTACATTTATTACGGAATGACCCCAAAAAAATTAAAAAAAAAACAGGTATAACTTTCAAAAAACTTAACGGATTTTTATAAAATTTAGTAATTATGTTTTTTGTAATAAATAACACCCTTTAAAGGAAAAAAATTACAAATTTAGAAAAAAAGCACATAATTGTTATGGAATGTCCCCAAAAAAAATCCAAAAAACGATTATAACTTCTAAAGAAATTAAAGGATTTTTGTAAAACTTGGTAATTATATTCTTTGCAATAAATGACATTCTTTTATTGCAGAAAGATATAAATTTAAGAATAAAAACGTATATTTATAACGGAATAACCCAAAAAAATCCAAAAAACAGTTATAACGTTCAAAAAAATTGACAGATCGTTATGGAAACTTGATAATTATTTTGGAGAATTTTCATCAAATAATTAACAAGTTTCCATAACGATCCGATAATTTTTTTGAAAGTGAATACTGTTTTTTGGAATTTTTTTTTTTGGGACATTCCATAATAATTATGCGCTTTTTTTCGAAATTTGTATTTTTCGGCAATAAAAGAATGTTATCTATCGCAAAGAATATAATTACCAATTTTCATAAGGATCAGGTAATTTTTTTGAAAGTTATAACTGTATTTTTGTATTTTTTGGGTTATTCCATAAAAAATCTAATTTTATTTTTAATTTTGTATCTTTCTGCAATAAAAAAATGTCATTTATCGCAAAGAACATAATTACCAAGTTTTATAAAAATCCGTTAATTTCGTTAGAAGTTATAATCGTTTTTTTTGAGGATTTTCATGGAATTTCATTTGTCATTCTATTGAATCACTTAAAATTCTGTTAAATAAAAATTCTGCTAATTTAATATTTAGTTAAATTAGAATTTTTTGAAATAAAAATGTAATTAATGTAATTTAAATTCGATTTTTCGTAAATATTCATATATAGCTTTGAATAAACATTAAAATAAAAATAATGAAATTATAGATCAGAGAATTTAGAATCAATGAGTAATAGTATACAACAAAAGCATTTTGTGGTTATGATATATCAGTGAATGCTGATAGTTTCTAATTAATCTGGCTATTATTTTAGACTATAGTTGTTCAGATTGTATATCAATTTTCAATATTCATAAATAGAGAGAGAAATGGGTTTGTTTGTTGCTCAATCTCCACAAAATCATTGTAGCGTCATCATGAATTTGCATACGTGCAATAAGTTACATTGTATATATCTGTCATGTTTCATCAAAACTGTTATTTAGTAGCGGTGATTACATATAACAATGAATGAATATTACAAAAAAATTCATATCTTTTTTTGCTAAAAAAAAATAATTTTTTTTTACCAAAATTATTACATTTGAAAAGAAAAATGGAAAAATTGGTAATTATTTGAAAGGCTACTTTTTATTAAATTATATTCTATATGTAATTGATTCTGAAGAAAGGGACCTAAGAGGCAAACAAATTTTAGGTTATGTTTCTGATTTTCAATGAGTAAAAAACTGATTTTGATTTTACATGAATAAAAAGGAATTTTTAATCAAGTTATCAATCATAAACATAACCTAAAATTTGTTTGCTTCTTAGATTTTGAAGAAAGTGATCTGAGAAGCAAAAATATTATAGGTTATGTTTATGAAAAATGAGTGAAAATACACAATGAAAATCAACTTTCATTACACAAACTGTCATTAACATAACCTATAATATTTTTGCTTCTTAGGTCTCTTCGTTCAAAGTTAGACACTAATATGTGACGTGCTCTGAAAAAAGAGGCCTAAGAAGCAAAAATTTTTAGGTTACATATATGATTGTTTGAAAATTGAAAATATACAAATTTAAATCTTTATAAAATTCAAAAAACTGATTTTGATTTAAAATAATTTAAAAAAAATTCTTAATCAAAGTATCAGACTATCATAAACATAACCTAAGAAGCAAAAAATTATAGGTTATGTTTTTATGATTAGAGGTTGAAAGTACAGTTTTTATTGCATTCAAAAAACTGATTTTTATTTAAAATAATTAATAAGAAACTTTTAATGAAGATATTAAACTATCATAAACATAACCTAAAATTATTTGCTTCTTTGGCCGCTTTTCTTCAGAACTTATCACATAATTTTAATTATTGTGGTCTTAAAAAAATAAATTTTAATAATTTTTAACAATTTTCAATAACTTAAAAAAAAACGTAATAAATTTCTTACTCTTTTTTAATTGAATTAAAAAAATTTTAAATGAATTTTAAAAGAAAAATAAATTAAAATTTTTAATTTAATTAATGAAGTTTTTAAATAATAAAAAAAAAACAAGTCCCTGATAAAATATAGCGACATAAATGAGAAATTAATTTGCGAAAGATTTTTGAATAAGAAAGTCATTAATTATACCGGAAATGTGTTTGTCAATATATTCGTCATCCCTTTTACGAGAGAGTGTTTTTGAAGTTTTAAAACTTTCTATTCTTATATATATCTATATATACAACCACAGGCGCATTTATTTTCAAAACTAACAACAACAATTTACGTCCCATGGAACTTTTGTTGAGTTTTTCATTACTTTTCACACCCCTTGAGTGTACTTTTCATACTGAGACAAAACTATCTTCATTTTTTACATTTCCCCCATTTTTCTCCTGATTTATTTATCTTGAAGAAAAATAAAATTCTCCAATTTATTTGCAAAAATAAAAAGTTGCGTAAAATTTTTCTGCTTTAAATTGACGCAAAACAGTTGAAGAGAAAAAATATTTATAATTCTCTTATTTGGTTCGCAAAAAAATGTAAAAAAATAAATTGAGAAATTTTTATTTTATTTTTTTCTTTTTTAATTTTGGACCAGAATTTGAATTAATTCTTCTTTCTTTCCTTTTTCCTCTAAGATGAATAATAAGCGAAGGAAACTTTATAAATTTTCGTGCCAAAAGTTAAAGACATAAGTTATTTCCTCTTTTTTATTTATCATTTCTTTTCTTGTTTTTTTTTTTTTTTTTTTTTTTTTTTTTTTTTTCGTGTACTCTTTAATATTTTTCCTTCTCTAACACAGTAAATTTCTCGAAGCTCTTAAAAAGCTCGATAATTCCCTGTGGGTAGTAAAAAATTTATCTCTCTCTTCTTCATCATATTTCAACAAGAAAAATGAAGCTCCATACATATACACGTGATTCTTAACTATATAGAATAATATTCTCACTCTTTGTCAAGTTCAATCTTATATACTTATTAAAAAAAATTTATCAGACGTTCTGTACCATTTATTGGCTTTGACAATAAAAAAAAAAAGTATTTGCAAAATAATATTTTTTTTGGATATGGATAAATAATTTTATTATATTATGTTATTATATTATTTTTATTATTATTATTATTATTTTTATTATTATTATTATTATTATTGGATTACAAAATTAGAAATATTTTAAAAAACTAATTTTTTCCATTAAGTCTTAAGGGCGTGTCAAAGTTGTGTCAATTGTAACATTGGATTACCATGAGCAAACTGAAACAACTTTTACATGCCCTTAAGAAATAATTTCTTAATAAATATTATTTTTGGCTATTGTTTTTGCATTGTATATCATTATTATTATTGTAAAATCGAATAGTTTTTGCCTGAATTCCTGAAGAAAAAAAATTTTTTTTTTCACAAAATGAAAAAACAAAATATGAATTCGTGTTTTCAAAAAAATAAAAAAAAAATGGACTGACGCGTATAACTGCATTCTTCATCTCACGTATACTTTTTCTTTATCATCATAAATTTCATCCTTAATTAAATGCGTTTTCCCGTTGGCAACGACAAGCCTCGTAACCTCGCTCTCATTTGAAAAACAAAATAATAAAATCATATCTCTTCATTTGAATATGGAGAATTTTCTGATGTGAATTTCTGACTGAGGTGAAAAAACGGAAATTTTTTTTTTTTCTAATCGCTTTCAAAGATTTTTTTGTTTCTTTAGAATACTTTTGATTACTGGTGAAAAAATTTTTTTCTCAAATATTTGCTGAGGGATATGAAATTTATTGGTCACAATTTTTTTACTGTTAAATAATTAAAAAAAATTTTTTTTTATAATATCAATTTCGAAAGGTTATTTATTTATTTAGAATATAAACATTTTTTTGTCAAAATTTTTGACTTTTTCTTTTTCGAAAATAAACAATTTTTTCGAAAATTCCCTTTATAAACTAAAGAAAAAATCTATGAAAATTTTTTATACCGAATTTTTTTTTTTTTAAATTATTTATTATATAAATTATTAATTTTTATTTAATTATTTAAACCAATTGTCAAGTAATGCAGAAAAAATGGAAAAAAAATGAAAAATTTCATCTCAAGTAAATATTGATTTAAAATGGAAAAATTTTTCTCATCAGTAAAATGAAAAAAAAAAAAAAAAAAAATTCTCTCCCTACATGTATATATGAATTTCTTATTTCCGTTTTCATTTCAGTTAAATCCTTGCGTTTCTAAAATATCTTTTCACATATTCTGACAGGTGACTTCATTTAAATTTTAATTCTCGGCAATAATTTATCTCAGTTATCGGAATGTTAATTAAAATCTCATATTACCGTAAATTACGGTTATCGAAATTGTTATTATATTTCAATTCAATTTTTTTTTTTTGTTTCAAAATTAATTATTTATTATTTTATTTAGTAACAATTTTATTTTATTTGAAAAATACTCAGATTCAGAACAAAAAAAAAGAACCGTTTTTTTTTAAAGTTAAAAAAAAATTTTAATTTATTTTTTTCAAATTCAATTATTTTAATTTTAATTTCCGGCCAAAAATGATCTAAATTTTGAGGTTATGTTCGTTACAAGGCTCTGTATATAGCCGCTTCCCCACCCCCTTTGTTGAGGGGGTGAATTTCCCGCCAAAAATGACCTAAATTTTGAGGTTATGTTTGTTACAAGACTCTGTATAAAGCCGCTATTCCCCCCCCCCTTTGTTGAGGGGGTGAATTTCCCGCCAAAAATGACCTAAATTTTGAGGTTATGTTTGTTACAAGGCTCTGTATATAGCCGCTATCCCCCCCCTTCGTTGAGGGGGTAAATTTCCCGCCAAAAATGACCTAAATTTTGAGGTTATGTTCGTTACAAGGCTCTGTATATAGCCGCCATCCCCCCCCTTCGTTGAGGGTTAGAGTGGATTTCCCGCCAAAAATGACTTAAATTGTGAGGTTATGTTATTTTGGAGGAAACGACCAAGAAACAAACATAACCTCAAAATTGAGGTCATACGTTGGAGGAAAATAACCAAAAAACGAACATAACCTCAAATTTAGGTCAAATTTTGTCAGGAAAATTAAAAAAAAATTAGATAAATTTTGTTTTAAAAATTGAAAATTATAACAATTATTATTAATAAAAATCATAAATAACATTAAAAAAAATAAATAATAAAATATTAATAATAGTTTTAAATTCCAGAAATTGAGCAAACATAAACTCAAAATAGGTCATAAAGTCATCTACAAAAACAATTAAAAAACGGGGGGTTGACGCAAAGGCGAGGCCAGGCCCCTCTAATACAATAATATATGTATATATATATAACATATAATAATATTAATTATAATAATAATAATTATAATAACTATTTTTTTAATTGTGGTTTAAAAAAAATTTTATTTTCTAATTTAGAAAATAAAAATTTTAAACTAAAGGAATTCAAATTATCGACAATTTTTATTTATCATCAAAATAAGTAAATAAAAATGTTGATGTAAAAAAAAACTAAATTCTTTACAAATTATTCGTATTGGTAGAAAAATATATTTTATTGGAAATTATTATTAATATTATTATTTTTATTCAATGAACTTTATAAATGAAAGAGAAAATTATGAAAATAATTTTCAGTTTTCTTCCGTGACCAAATGTTATTTGGAAAAAGTAATTTATTCAAGCAGACAAGTGCTTCTAATTTCCCAGTGCTTTCAAAGAATCCTCAGTTGCAATCTGTTTAAAAGCTTTGTATAAGCGTTTCGTGAACACTTAAAGAACACTACTAATACAAATTATAAATATATTAAAAAAAAAAAAAAAATTGATAACATAAAAATAAATGAAAAATTTAATCACCATTCGCAAAAAAAAATATTGACAATATTCTGACCTGATTTTCTGTTTATCTTTGCAAATAGTTCTTCTGGCTAGAGACGGATCGGTGCCAGGACTCGGTGAGCTTTTACTTAAAATTAAGAAATTTTCTTCTCGCTCGCCTATCTCTAAAAAAAAAAAAAAAAAAAATCTGTGTTTTCGCTTCTTCTATATACGAGCTTTGCTTTCTTTTTTCTCGACGAGCTACTCGTAACATCTAGGCGCTTCTTTAGTTCCATATACTTGAGACACCGAAAAAAAAGAAGAAGGGGGGCAGTAGCACTTAATTTAGAGGGATTTTTCACATCTGCCTGCGCGAAAAAAAAGCTTTTGAATTAATTAAAACTGCGACGACAATAAAGAAAAAATAATTAATAACAAAGAGAGGGAAAAAATACTTTTTTGTTTATCAAAGTTTCATATATTGACAAAAAATAATTTTTTTTTCATCTCTCGAGATCAAATATATTAATTGATTTGATACGCCTGCCTCCTTCTTTAAAGAAAAATAAAGTAAACAAAAAAATTAATTGAAAAATATTTTTTTAGTGGTGAAATATTGTATTTTATTAAAATGTCATTTTATCCATTAAAATTTAATATTGACCACTGGAAAGAGACAATTTCAAACGCTCACAATTTTGTTTGTTTGGAATTTTTTTTTTTTTTTTTTTTTTTTTTTTTTTTTTTTTTTTTTTTTAATTTTATTTTAATGGCTTCTCTTTTAGATGTGCAATCAAAATTATTGTATTTTCACGCTACAGCTACTTTCATTGCACGATTGTTGATCAAAAGAAATATTCGCAAAGAAAGATAAAAAATGAGAGAGAAATATGTGCTTGATGTGTGCCAATAATGATAATAATAACATAATAATTAATTTCTCTGTATTTTTTTAAAAATTATTTTCTCAATCGATATAATTTTTTCTGGTTACTGTGTATTTTGTGAGTTTTTTTTTATTATTATTATTATATTTAATATCCTAAAAACGCTTTTTGTGTTCATAAAGTCACCACTAAACTTTTCAGATTTGCTACACGTGGAACTTGTTCGGAGACTGAGAAACGTTAAAGTCCTTGTCGGTTTTAATATAAGGGTCGTTAAATTTTCGCCTCGAAAGTAAACTTACGAGGGAGATATATATATATATAGATACCGGCAAAGAAAATTAATAACAGTTTCTGAGACCAACGGATGTTCCCTTGTTACCAGACTTTCGACAAACTTCACAAAACTATATTGAACTCTCAACTTAAGATTGCCAACTTTCCGATTTGAAACGACATTTAGAAAACAATTATAAATTATACAGTTTTCAAATTTTATTACAGCATTCAATTTAAAACTTTTTTTAAAAAAACAATTTTCTGTGAATTGATCAAAAATATCAAAATTGTGTCGACGCCCCTGAATGTGTCATGGCGGTGTTCGAAGTCACGTGATTAATTTCAGGAGACACCGATAGAGGTTATGTTAATGGGTTGAACCTCCTCAAATAAATTATTAATTTGAATCCCTAAACACAGTTTTTAAATAAAATTATTAACTTTTCTAATTTTCGTTTAATTAAAAAATTACTTGTCTCATTATGAAACAAATATTTATAGGGGAATAGTGTCAGGGTTGGACACTTGGCTTTTTTTAAATAAGAACACTAGCGCCACCTGTGTGCGTACGTGACGAATCTTCTAGTAGTGTAACCTAACTTTTTGTGGCATTACATTTTTGGAGAATCAAAAGTAGCGTCTCCTGTGACTTCGGTGCAATCGAAGAGACAAAAAAAAAAGTTTTGTTTGACTTGTGAATAAACCTAAAAAATGTGTAAAAAAAAAGCAAGAATTCGGCAAGGTATGCTTCTTGAATGTACTGTGCGGGGTACATAATTTAAGAAGAAAAAAAGTGAAAAATCGAATCGCGACACATGTCTGGTTATGGTTAGCACAATTTGAAAATGATGCTTCTAGTTAGGGTTGGACACTTTACACAGTTAGGGTTGGACACCCATATTAATTATGAATTTGACACAATTTATAAATAAATATACAAATAAATTTTATTTTATTGAATTTTCAGTGCAAAATTGTGCCAAAGATATTAGAAAAATAATACTTAAATTGTATAAATTTTGTTCATCATTTCATTGAGTTATTTGGAACAATAAAGCGTTATTTTTTGTAATTTGAGTTCATTCCTTTTTTAAACCCATGAAGCTTTACAATTTGTAAACAATAAGTAAAGATAAACATGAAAAAATAAGAATAAAAAACATTACAAATGTTATTTTACGTTTTTACCAATAATGCGTTTCGATTTTCAAAAAGTGTATAACCCTGACTGAAAAGTCCAACCCTGACTAGATTTTTTTTTTTAAATGTTTATAACTTTTTTAATTTTGAACCTATCAATTTACGGTCCACAGCAAAAGTGTTCCTCTTTTGTAGATCTTTCCACCCATATACCACAATTGACTGAATTTATCTAAACAAAAAACCAAAACTGTGTCCAACCCTGAGACTATTCCCCTACTTGAATTAAATAATTTTTATTTTTATTAAATAAATCACGGTTCTTTAAAAGTAATAACAGGTATGTAAAAAATGGGTATAAAATTTTCAATTTGCATTTTTTTTGCCTTTATTTATAGGTTAGAATATCGTTGTAATTAATTTGTTGTCATAAACATAATCTTAAAGCTTAGGCTAGTTCAAAGATAAAGAAACATTTTTTTTTTATTGAAACTAGTATAAGTTTTGAGTTTATGTTCCTGAGAATAAATCAATTAACCATTAGATTTTCTTCAAAATTGAACAATTTTTAATTTTTATAATTTACATGAAATTTAAAAGATAATATTTCACTTTTTGTGGTAATATCTTGAGAAAAAGAAATGTTATAATTTTTATTTCAACTTATTTCATCTCCATGAAGTTGGCGTCGACAATTATTTTTCATGGGACCAAAAATATCAAAATCATTTGTAAAACGTAAAAATACTTTAACAATTTTGGTACTATGAAAATCAATTTTCGACGTTGAGTGTCGACGCCAACTTCAAGGAGGTCTAATTACTAACCTATAAATAATGATGAATAAAATTTACACTGAAATATATATTTACATCCATTTTTGTCATACCTGTTATTATTTCTAAAGCACTGTGATATATTTGAACTAATAATTTCTGAATTTGAAACAAATCACGGTGCGCCAGAAGGTGGTTTAAATAAAAATGAATTGGCACTTAAAAATTCTTTTTGATTATGATTCTTAGATGAATAACAAACATTTCTCAATAGTTTTTAAAATCAGTTTACGTGCCCGATTTAAATAAAATTGAGTTTTTATATAAAAACAGTGTTTTATGGGGAATCAGAATTTATTTAATCTAATAAATACTGTAATAAATGATAAAATAATTACTTATTTTCAATTTTACATATAAATAATTATATTGCTGTAGTGTTTGTGTCCAATTTAAAAAAATTAAATTATAATGTTAAAAGAACGATTTTAAAAGTGACAAATTTTATTTAAGAGAGTCGAATGGTCTCTGAAATTTTTTGGCAAGAAGAGACCTTTAATTATCGCCCTTCAAAAAAAAACCTCCATGAAGTTGGCGCCGATGCTCAGCGTCGAAAATTATTTTTCATGGGACCAAAAGTATGAAATCTCATTTTTAAAAAGGTTTTGGGTCAAAATAATACTTTGAAAAGTATTTCTCAAGGCATTATTTGGAACAAAAATTATTTTTAAAAATAATTTTACATTTTTGGTCCTGTGAAAAACAAATTTCGGCGCTGAGCGTCGACGCCAACTTCATGGAGGTTTTAAAAACGGCACTAAACGTGAAAATGATAAACATTGATTTTAAAATGCTTTCTTCTCGAAAGACGGACACTTTTTACAAAAGCAGCTAGAGATCCTTACCCAAGAAGCACGTAATATATCCTCAATATCAAGGTAATATTACACGTGAGATTCGTAATATAACGCTGTAATATTACAGTAATCTTACAGTGATCTTAAAATGTCCGCCTCAAGGTAATATTACCGGGAATATTACTGTAATATTACTGGGAATATTACTGTAATATTAACGGTAATATTACAGTAATATTACAGACTGATTTGAGTTATTCATAAAGCATAAAAAACGTAAATATATTATAAGTCAATTTGGCTTGTTGGTAAAACTCTGGACTCGTGTGCTTTGAGTTCGGGGTTCGATTCCCTGGATGGGTAGATTTTTTTCGTAAAGAAATGTTCCCATAATATTACTGTAATATTCTCTTGTAATATTACCTTAATATTACGGTATAATATTACTGCAATATTACTGTAATATTACCTTAATATTAGCGCGTAATATTACAGTAACATTACCGGTAATATTACCTTGAGGCGGACATTTTAAGATAACTGTAAGATTACTGTAATATTACAACGTTATATTACGAATCTTACATGTAATATTACCTTGATATTGAGGTTATATTACGTGCTTCTTGGGTATCTTATATAAATTTCCTAAATCCTAAAGATTATACGAATCCATATAAAAACACGATTGCAAAACGGAAAGTAATATAATGACAGGTACATTACCTCCTGCCGCCGTCAGATGGCAGCAGCATGCAGGGCGCACAAAGTCGCAGCTGTTATTAGATTACTTTTCTACTTTTTGTTTTGCAACCATGTTTTTCTATGGATTCGAACAGTCTTTTGGATTTAGGAAATTTATAAGATGAGCGTTTTGGCTGATTTTGTTAAAAGTGTTCGTGTTTCGAGAAAAAAGTATTTTAAAATCAATACTATTTCACGTTCAGTGCGATAATTAAAGCTCTCTTCTTGCCAAAGAATTTCAGATACCGTTCGACACTCTTAATGCATAAATATAAAAACGAAACAAGAAAATAACTTCATTGTTAATAAATTTATATGAACCCAAATCTAAAACATCTATTATCTATACGCATATAAGTATACATTAAATAAATTCTGGTTCCTCATAAAACACTATTTTTAAATATTTAAAACTCAATTTGTTTTAAATTGGGCACGTAAGCTGATTTTAAAA